GGGGGAGGGGTGCGTGGGGTGTGTATGGATATGTGCACCCCCCACATGTATGTGCATATTTACACACACACATATGTGTGTATATACTGTATGTATATATACTATATATGCGTGTGTGCATATGTATATGCACACACAAAATGTATATGCGTATGAATAAGTATGCACATGCACACATACATGTATATATGTACTCCTAGCAGAGCTGCTTCATTCCTGGGCCTGCAACAAGGAGCTAGGGAGCCTGGGCGGGTTCAGGGCTACCGGAGGTAGCAGAACCATGAGAAAACTAGACCAGCACCTCTGGGCTCTTCTTACAAATTGCATTTTGCTTGGATAAGCTGTGATGCTTTATGTTAAATATTGTCAAGTTGTTGATGATCTTAGAGCCTTGTTTTAAAGCATGAACTTTGGTGACACGTTAGGGTGTTTGAGGATAATGAGTTAGATATGGGAAGGGCTGTATAGATACTTAGAAAAAATAGTTTCTTATTCAAATAAGTCACTGGTTTCTCTTTGTGCCTTCCCTTGGAGCTCTGGAAGGGGCTGCTGTAATGTTAGCAGCAATTTGGGGGTGGGAATGGCCCAGAGTGGAGCTAATTCCCCTCAGTGGAGGGCTGCAGTACAGGCATCACGAAGGAGCTGCTCATCGTAAGAAGCTTCTCATCAACTTGACTATTCTAAAATACCACCATGATTTAGGACCCTGAGGCATAAACATTGATTTGGTTTCATAGGGTTTCCTCACCAGAGCTGGGAACTGATTGCAAGTCTGTGGTGTCCTAGGTCTGTACCTTGGATGTAGGAGCATTTCTTTGTTTGCCTACCCCCTGTGTTTTCAATGCATAGTCTTTTAATGTTACACATGGTTTCTTCTTTTACATTCAAATAACACCTTATTTTGAAGTAAATAACAGCGTTGTGAGAACATCTAATCACAGAAGAAAGGCTGGCAGGTAACAAATGACAGCTGAGCCTTCAGTTATCATAGTCAGCAAACAGTAGTCCAAGGACAAATGTGCTTCTGCTGTTAAAAATGTGGCAGAGGGCTGTAGGGAAGGGGTCAGAATGTCAGGTTCATCGTGGTTTATCAGTTGGCACAGCTGAAACATCGAATTCATGTACAGTGTGTTGACGTGTCGGGGCTGGATCCAAATGGCCACGCTGCTGAGCACTCAGCAAATAACTGTTGCTTTGTACACAGGCACGTGATGTGAAATACGTTTCTGATACTTGAAAGGCTCGTGGCTGTGAAGAAGAGCAAGGAAGAGCAGTGGGAAAGGTACTGCCCTGCCAAATCGCTCTCCTTCCCTTATAGACAGGTCTGTGGAGAGAGCTTTGAGCTTACCTTTTAGATATTTTTTTGCAGTAATGGAATGCGGTTATAGCTGTGATGGTGCAAGGATGTAAGCAAAGAAAAAGATTGTGAGGACAGGGTGTTACCTACTGGTTTAACAGAAGGTGTGGTTGCAAAGAATAGGGTTTTGGGCACACCAGGCTTTCTTCAGGTCTCACTTTCATGTCTCTTCGCAAATTTCAACTGTGGTGTCCTAGTTGCTTTAACCTGCTACACCTCAAGTCTTGCTGTGATAATAGCAGGTGGCATTAGTAACTCTTTATCCCAAAGAACAATGGATAGAAATGATTCTTAAGAGTTTGATTTTTTTTTCTGTTTTTGCAATACTTTGGGTGTCTTAACAAGAAAGTATTTGCTTTGCTTATACGGGACAGTAAGCGAACTCTAGTTTTGGCAGAAGAACTGCATAAGTTCACCATCTAGGAACTCTCTGCCTCAAATACTGAACTTTGAGTCCCTAGCAGCGCCAGAAACAGGTTGCAGCCAAAGGTTTGGTGCCAGCTTGTGAGCCCCTGATGCCACAGCAGAGGGTGACGTTTGTGAGCGGGGTGTTTGAGCTTGATCGACAGCTCTTGGTGTGATCTTCAGAAGAAATGTTCTCGTGTGCCCGGGCACCAGGAGATGCCTGTGGGCGTAACAGTATGTGCTAGTCACCTGGGGTCCCCTTCGTTCCTAGGTTGTCTCTCTGTATAAATACGTGCCAAACTAGACTGGTAAATTTGATTGTTTCTTTTGTGACAGGAAACTTTTGAAAGAACCAGACGTTTAAGTGAAGGAATATAGAAGAAAGAAGCCTGGAAGGACTAAAGCTGCAAGAACAAGAGCTCGAACGAAAAAGGGGAAAGGAAAGAGAGGTGATTGAAAGGTGGGAATGTATTTTTAGTGTTCCATTTTCTTGAGTTTTATTGCACTATTTTATTGTCAGCAAAATTCAGGAGCTACTGTAAAATCCACATTGCTACTGTAAAAATCCAGGCTTTGAAGAAATGTGAATCAGAGAACCTGAAGTGTTACTGTGTATAGTTCCTAATCCATGCCTTACTGTAGGAAGAAAAGGAGCAGTGTGATAGTTTGGTAGCACAAGGGCACAAGATGAGGGGTTGTGAGGAAGAAGCTGGGATGGAGACACCCTGAGATCCCTTCCAGCCTGGCTTGTTCTATGAGCCTAGAGTGAAATCTGAGAGGTGTTTTTTCAAACTGCTACGAGGCTTGATTGCTTAAGATTCTGGAAGTAGGATTCCAGAATTCTATGTGTGGGATCAACAGCACAGATCCTGCTGTAACATGAAAAATTAATGTCATTATGCCCATATGCCTTAGGCTTCAACTGGAATTTGAAGGATAGTGGAGATAATCCTGTAATGTGTCTTAAATGGCATCCTCATGCAAATCTATATGGGATCAGTCTCTAGTTGTGTCCTTGGAGAAAAGCTAGTAATTGAATCTGCCTTCCTGAGATTGCTTGTAATGAAAACTCCAGAATATGAAGCATTTGAGGAAAGTAAAGAACTTTCTAAATGTGTGCATCAGTTGTATGTGTCAATTGTGTGCCACATTTGCTTGCTTCTTTTTTTTTTTTTTTTTTTTTTTTCTCCTTTCTTTAACCTGTTATTCTAGAACCCCAAATTTCTGGTGACTGGTTGCTTACTATTAGCACTGCGAAGTCCTGCATCTGATCCCACAAGGTTCAAAATATAAAATAAGTGTCATCTAAATTGTCCCATATTGATAATTACCTAGAAAAAGACGTGGTGATGAAAAAAAGGTTCAAGACAGAAAAGAGAAAGCTAAGCTCCAGAGGAGAGAAGAGAGACAGATAGAACGAGATGAAAAACACCCCCAAGAGCAGCAGAAGGTACCAGCTGAAGAACAGCAGTGGCCAGAGAATATGCCTGAATGGGAAGAAAGGAAATCCCTGCTAGCTCAGAGAAGAGTGGAGTCTGTCAGACTGCTTACAGTGCTGTTAAACCGAGTGAAAGTAAGAATGTTTTTAAAAATATTTTTAAGTTTGAAGGATATTTATTAAAGCTTGAATAATTCACTAGATTTTGGTGGCTTGATGCTAATAAAAAAAATGCCTTGGGGTTGACTAGGAAGACCTGAGGTTTAAATCTTGAGGCAGCTTGACCTGAGAGGAAAAGTCTGGGATATTGCCCAGAAAATTCCATCTTTGATACATGTTGGAGAGCTTGGCATTGCTGAGGAGGAATAAGGATGGAAGTGTCAACTCTTAGTCTTGATTTTTCATTGCAGAGGGGAATTTGGGGGAAGGAAGGCAGAAGAAGAGTATCTCTGCTGCTTTGGTATCAGGTCTGCAAGTAACAGAATTAAATTGATAGGAATTATGCCATTTTCTTTTCTAGTAGTCTCTCTTTTGTGGCCAAAACAAAGCTGCCTGTTTTATCTCAGTTTCATTCAGCTAATGATTTGAGAAAGTTAGCAAAAGAGTGATTAAAAATGTGAGTGTTCTGCACACAGATTCATGACTGGAGACTTCTTTCAGTCCCTTGGGCTCAAAAAATGTTTTAAATGAAAGCTCAGGGATGCTAACATGACTTTGTTTTTACTATTTGCTAATGCCAAACTTGTTAGCAGCTTTTAACAAGCGTTTTTCCCCAAACCTTAATGTTTACAATTTTTAAAAAGCTGCAGTTCTTTAAGAGTTGAAGCTTGAGGCTATCGCTGTCATTCTGCATGAATTTTAGGGCTCCATAACATCTGATGTTTGGCTTACCGTGAAAGTGATGTGCTTATTTTCTTGGTTTCATCACTTGGAAAGCTTTTAGACTGGTTACACTGGAGCCATTAAAATAGTGTATAATAAAGCAGTTTAATTTTTCTTAATAAAATATTCGAGCTATAATAGTGCAGTAATTTTATTATTGCGTGCAACACATTGTAGTGCAATAACCAAATAAAGAATAAATGCTTCCTTATGCAATTGCAGTGAGATAGATGAATTGGTTGAAAGGATTACTATCTTAGTTAAGAATGCAGCCTTTTGAGATGACATCTTTAGTTCTGACATAGGAATAGTAAGATTGTATGATCAGGCTCTGAATTAAACCAAATTTATCCCTCAATTATACCAGTAGTTTTTATGACTGTGGAGCTGCGTATTTGTGAGGTTGCAGTTTTAGCTCGTTTTAGTTCTGTTCTCAGTAAATGTACATAATCATTTTCCTGATTTTTATTTAAAGGATTTTGCACAGTTGGCAAGTCAAAAAGTGGATCCTTCGTTGGGCCTAAGGAAGGACGATTCTTTTCCTGAAACAACATTAAAAGACATACATCAGGAAGAGATAAACTCCCATTGCCATACGCACAAAGATTTGAAACATAAGGAAGAGTTTACATGTCAGTTAACCCAAAAAGGTAGCACCTTATGTAGTGAGGAAGGAGATGTGACTAACTTGTGTGCATCCACCTGTCATATAGTCAGGACAGTTTTAAATGATCCCAGTAGAGCCCTGAGTTGTGACAGCTTGACGGGCAGAGATGCGTGCAACTCCTTTGGCTGTGGATCTTTACTGATTACAGTTACTCAAGACTGCAAGGTCATCGAGCCTCTCGAGAGAAGGGACTGCCCAACACTGAATGTAGTTCGCACGCAGACAGTGTCTGATGAAGACGGCTGCAAAAAGCAAAAGGTCTATGAGACTGATGAATTTATCCATTATTTATTAAACTACTATCAGACACCGAGCTATGCACGTGTTTGCTTAGAGCCAAAAAGCACCGTGAGCAGGTCCTGGTGGAAGAGAGTGGTGTCTGATGATGATAGTGGTTTTCAGATCAGCTTGAGTAACAAACATGATCAGCACTTCAGAGAAGTGAGTCTTGTGCAAAACCTCAGCAAGAGAAATTGTAGTAGAGATGACAATTATAGACTGGTGATCGAGGTTGGGGAATTTGAAACTACAGACACAGTGTTGAAAAGCAAGACCTGTGCGAGTAGGCTTGCAAAAAAACTGCAAGCACAGAGGAATGACTCACTGGCTGTTGATAACTTACCACGTGCTGGACTGAATCGCTTTTTGGACGGCACCACTGCTAGTCATGATAAGGAATTCCATCTAGAAGACAGTAGAGGTGAAGCTACTGTACCATACAAAATGTGTAGATCTGCTTTCCAATTAAAGAACTTGTTGGAAGAGATCAGTGACTCAGAGTACTTTGGTGAGACACATAGTGGCTCAATGAAGAGGACAGAGAGAAAGTGTGAAGAAATTCACAGCAATTGTGATAAAGGGTGCTTGCTCCCAGGAGAGGGAGAGAGAAAATTACTGGTTTATGTTAAAAATGTAGCCCTGGAAGGTCGAGAAAAGGAATGCAGCAAATGTAGCTTCTGTTCTAATTCTGCCTGTGAGGGATTGTCAAGGCAGTGTGAACACAAGTTTAAAAAGTCATGCAAGCGGTCTAGTAGTAAATTAAGACTTGAAGGACAGAGAAGTGAGAGACAATCCAGGGAAGAGGAGAGGAATGCTCACAAAAAGAAGAAAAAGAGAAAAAAGCTTTCTTCTAATCTTTTATCTGATGAATATGGCTTTTCAGAGACAGACAGTTGCATACAGCTGGAGTCACTCAGAAAGATACAAAAAACATGTAACAAAATGTTGCACAAGAAAATGAAGTTGAAAGCGCTTCACCCGGTGACAGCGGCTCCAGAAGATGTTCCTCCTGGCGATGCCTCACCTCTCCAGGGGAGCCTCCGGAGGGCAGGTGAGAAGGAGGAATATCGGAGCCGAGGCTACTGACTTGGATAGGCCTGGGTTTCTGGCAGGTGAGGTTGGTTGCCACAGTTCCTCTGTCAGTGATGCGTGATAAGGTTTGTAAAAACTTTCAAAACATGTAAACGTGGTGCAAAAAAAAAAAGTGTGACTGCTCTACAGAACCTTTAATTGTCACTTTAGCAAGAAATACTGAGCAGCTACTGTTGAAAAGTTGTATTTTTCCAGTCAGTCAGATAGCAAAGCCCCTTTCCTATGCATTGAAGGATAGAGATGGTTATTCCGTTAATAACTTGTATGGAAACGATTCAGAATGTTTCAAATGGGCAAAATACATGCCTGAGTTATGATGCTCAAAATAATATGCTGAGTTAACCTATTGGTTGGGAGTTAGGCAACTTTGGAAAAGATGAGTAGATGACAACTCAGTATGTGGCACTTTTGGGAGGGAAGTAGCACAGTCTGAAATGAGTGAGTTTTTATCTATGCGATCCCTACAGGATCACTATGTTTCTGGATGTTGTTCCTCACAGTCCTGTGTCAATTTATACACTTTCAATGCAGGGGCAGCTACCTGCCTTTTTGATTATTTTTCTTTCTCTTTTTTACTTTCCTTCTTCCTGACCATCTCTTATGAAATAACTGTTACATATAATTTTACATATAGGAGATGAGAGGAAGTTAATACTGAGAAGAGAGATGGATGCTGATGTCAGAGGATGCCCTCTTTATCCTCTTGAAATAATTCAGACCAACCCCCGCTCAGATACATTGTGTGGAGCAGAACCTGGAAGAGGATGCTGAGCAGCTGCTGTGTAATAGCTCTTAAGCCTACTCACAGAAGTGGGAGAAAGTAAGTCCTTTAGTCATTAAAAGTTATCTGAAATATTGGATTTCTTGTTTTGTGTGTAGATAATTTCTTCTGTATGGAGGAGTAGAATAATCTTACTGGTGTAGTGAGCCAAAAAATGAGAATTTTTATCTGACTACTGGACAACAAAGGACCAAAATGTTTCCCAGAGACAGACAAACTTTTGTGGACCAGTTGCTAAGAATTCAAAAAGTAGCAGTTTGATATCTTGGAGTTGTACCCAGATTAAATCTAGGGTGCCATGTAAATATAGGAGCTACAGTTTTTGGCAGTACTGAGTCATTTGGGAAAAAAAAAAAAAACCCAAAAACATAGAGCTAGCATACAAAGTGCCTCCTCAAGCAGATTGTTAAAATAGCGGGACTGTAAGATGTGGGGGACATTTATACGCACTCATTGGGGAATAATGGTTTTCCAAATACGAAAAAAAAATCTACTTTAAAACCTGCACTGGAAGTAGGTTTATTTTCTAATTGCAATTCTCGAAATATTTCTAAAAATTTGCTGGTCGTTGGGAGGGTTGATTTCACTAAACACGTGCTGGATTAGCTGGACAGAGAAAAGGGAATGCTTGTCAGCACGTTGACAGCCCACCCGTATATACAGGCTGAAAGTTTGTTTGCAGGTTTTCAAAAATGTGCCCCTTTTAAGGCATATGCAGTGAGACAGCTATTAAGTATGAGTTAGCCAACAAATAATTTCCAGAGGCAATGTCAAATGTAGTTAAATTTCTGCTGCATGGAAGTAAAAATGTGAAAATGCAGTCTAGGAGCTTGAGTTATATCCATATTTATTCATCTGGCTATATTTAGAGGACAGCGACAATTGCTTTTGGACAAAGTCCCTTAGGAAAATACAGACTGACCAGTTCTAAGTTGAATACACTGATTATTTCAGCTTTCATTTTAGTATGCTTTATTTATTACATGTCAATATACTAAATTAATGTGATGATGTTGCCTTCATTATACAGTATCTTACCCATGTTTGTAACTTCTGCTCTAATAAATAGTAATAAAGAAGTTTGTAGTTGTTCACGGTAGATTGGTTTTACCCTACTGTGCTTGATATTAGTGATTCCTAGAGGCTTCTCTGTCAGGCTTTATCTGTCCTCTCTGTTCACATGTCCAGATATTGAGTGCCTTTTCAGGATCATGAATGACAAGTGGTTGCTACTTAGACAAAGTACTGTTAATCTATTCCTTTTATCTAAAAATATCTTATTTTCTTGACAAAATATTTTCTGAGTATTTTGGAGAACATCTATGCCCGTTCTTAGTCTGCTTTTTAGTATTTTATACTGTTGTAATGGAGATCAACTATTATATTTCTTGATCGTGTAAAATGTTTCAGTTGCACTGATATGACATACCAAGGGTGTTGTTTTTTCTCTATGCAATATTTACAGATTAAAAAAAAAAAAGACAAAACTTTCCCCTCTGATCTCTAGACAGTTCTGTGTGCAGAAATAAGCAATTCCCACGAGACCGTGTCTCATTTGCAGGTGAGGAAATAGTTTTTTTGTTTTTGTTTTTTTTTTTAATCTAAAGGAACAGGAACTGAAGATTTATTTCAGTGTAAATTTCCTTTTTTTTTAAACATGTTGTCACAATATTCAGTAACAAATAAATACACTAATTCTGTAATTGCTTCTTGCATTCACTTATATTGACCGCAATTAATAAAGTAAATCCTCTATCTCCACGTCCTCATCCAGTGTAAAACGTTGTGTTAGTGAGTAAAACATGCACAGTTTAAAATGTGAGATATGACATTATTTAGAACTTATTTTTGAGTATTTTAATATTATTTTCTCAGTTTTCTTACCTGTGCTCTTAACTTCGGCTCCGTCCTTCCATTAGCTGAACTGTTTGGTATAATTTTGTTTATTATACTGAAAGCATGTCTTTAAAGATGTGCCTAACAAGATTGCCTTAACACTCTTTAAATATATAGCTTTTTAGATTAAACTTCTTTAGTGTTCAGGAATAAACATCACTTATCAACTATGAAATGTAAAGAATGAGGTTATATCTAATTTAAACATTTAAAATGTGAAAAAATGCATGACAGGCAGCAAATAGCTTAGTAGCAGAAATGTATAATATTCTTTCCATATTTCCCCGTCTTTCCTTATTTTCACTGTGCTTATGTTGTTGTACTCGGGTGATGATCCGAGAGTTTGCCATTTTGCTATGTACAGAACTAATGCAAATGCTGAACGGAGGTAGTAGGAACATAAGTCCTCTCAGGAGAGCTGCCTGGACTAAGCTTTTTTTAGCTGAAATACTTTGTTGGTTCATTGTCCAGAATGCCAAGGTCAAAATCCTGAGTTAACATCCCCAAAGGTGTTTGACAAGCAGAAATGCACAATGCCCATTATTATATTGGTCCAGCTGCTTGAAATACAAGAATCCTGCAGTTATAACATAAAGCTCTTCCTTCTTAATCCGGTGATTCCAGACAATGCATAGAAATACCTCACCTTTTACCTCACCTTTAGTAAAACCCCTTACGTAACTCTTATCATAATCTTCTATTACTGAACTATTTTTTTTTACCTTTTATTACTGAACTATATTTTTCACATTTACAGCAGATAGAGCTAGTAAAAATGATTAACAACAGGTAGTGTACAGTTCTGAATTTTACAAGCAGTTCACAATGAGCCACAACTGTTTGGGAATGAGATTGTTTTCCTCCATGCTAGAGCTCCTCGAGGCTGCCCATGTAGCACACCCAGAGTCTCCACCCTGTTTTCATCTCGCTGTACTTGGTTAATGTGCAATCTATTAAACTACCTGGCACGGTGGTTCTGCTCGTCTCTGCAACTGATCGCTAGTAAAGAAAAGGATCACATTGCAATGGACAAAGAGCAAAAACCATGTTGGAGAAAACACACCTCTCCTATGCTTAAGAAAAAAAAAAGTGTGCCTGCCACTTCATGAAGTGGGTCACACCTTCCCCTTTCACAATAAATTTTATTTGCTCAAAAAAGTAGTGGTCTTATCCAAAGCGTAATACTGTTCCTCAGGAGGAATGCATGCTTAATGTTAAGCTTTGTCTTGTGTTACTTTACAGATTTTTCTGTGTAAGCTGCCATTTAACTTGTTTTAGTCTTTGTGAAGAATAACAATTTTCTTTTGGTCACCTACAGTTTAATACATAGAATAGTGTTCGGTTCCTCAGGCTGTTATGGACGAATTTAAGAGCCAAACTGTTGGTCCACTGAAGGGTAGAGAACAGCTTAGTCTCGTTCCTCTATGTCTCAGCCTTCCAAAGCTCCATGCTTTGCTCTGCAGTCTTAACAGTTACTTATGCCTAACTTTGTCCTTGCAACAGCAAATATATTTTGTAGAAACGGAGCAAGTTTTTTATTTAGTGTTCAGTTTAAAGGTAGTGTACTACAGAACCATGTTTGTGTTATGCAAAGCACAGATTGCGTTCAAGCTGCAGAAGTACAAGTAGGACAATTTGGAAAAAGAATGAAGTCTGGAAACACTGTGGGAGGACTAGCATCACATTTAGTTGCAATAAATAGTAACAAACACCGTAAGTATGCAAGACTAATTTTATTTTCTGTTTTAAACAAATAAAAGCACATTTCTGATTTGAGGTAAAATCATTAGAAGTAGTTTGCAAAGAGTATAAACGTGTCTAAAAATAAAATAGCATCACAAAGGCCGTGACTAGTTTTACATTTGTCTCTAGACTTTCATTAGGTAGCTCATACAGTAACACTTTATGCAAACTCTGTGGCCCAAAAAACTGCAATCTTGATTTGAAGGCCCCGTGTGACCAAAAGACAAAATGCCATGAAACTGTTAGGACTGAGGAAAACTCATCAGTTCTCACCACAGATGGTCTCAGGCACTTTAACATATGGTGTTAACTTGTTTGTGAGAGCTGCTGTTATGGAATGCAGTCTACTTTTGAACAATTTTGCCTAGTTCACAGATTCTTCCCCAGTTAGGACTCAGTTCACCATTTTGGTCTTGTTGCCAAATTGAAGTGACTCAGCAGAAGAGCTGACTGAGAGAAACCAGATAAGGGGAACTGCAGCAAACAGGTGCCACAATGAATCACCTGGACAGGAAACACTTAGGAGAAATCAGCAAATCATTAGCTCTTGCCTTAAAATTCTGTTTAAGTTTAGCAGAAGTATTTTGTATGGTGAAGGAACACCTTTGCATTTTTCCTTGGTCAAAACTATCTACCCCTTTGGTATCTGGCTTGGTTACACAGTCAGATCAAACCTGGTTTTTAAGTACAGATGTGAGCTGAGAGAGCAAGTAAGAAGTAATTCAAAGATCAGCCCCTCCGGCTCTAACATTGCTGGTTGTGCATGAGATTTTGCTGTTTCTTTTTAACAGCAATATTCCAAAATAACAAAAGGCTTGACTCAGAAACAGCTTATGCCACGTCACTTTATTTTGTACACCTTACATTGATCATAAACATTCTTTTGCTAGTGAAAGCTGCATGTATGAGAGCACTAGATAATCATGCAATACCAGCAAGTCCTTTTATAGAACATACACTAGGCCTAAGAATCAATAGCAGATGATTTTCACTGTTTAATTTCATTTTGTTGAAATTCACAAAAGAGTTTTGCTAAGAGTAAACGTGAATGAAAAGTCATCCTGCTGAGTCACATTTCATGGTGTTCACATTTCATCTGTTCTGGGCAGAGGCCCAGTTAGTTACACTCAATGTCTAAACCTTTGTAACACTTTAGATGTGCTTTAAAAGTAAACAAAGAATGTTAATCCAGCTGCAAGACTGAATACATCAAGTATTCAACAGTCATTACTAATTTTTTAAGTCTCTGGGTGATTTAAGCTCTCAAAAATTACTAACTTTTTGAAAAGCAGTTAGTGTTTCATCTGTAAGCCTCTCAACTCCATAAAAAGACAAATTATCTAACATTACACTGAATTATACTGCACCACAAATGAGTCTGATGCCTCATGGGCAAAACAAACAAAAAAAAAATAGTCCATTTTCTAAGGAAATCAGAATTAGAAAACAATGCCCAGATCCTGTGAAAGCTAATACTAAACCAAATTTAGTGAAATTTGGATTACATATGTGAAGTTGCTCTTGTGCTTGTGGCCGCAGTGTTAGGTTGTTAATGAAAAGCTTTGAATTTCAACCTGCTCTGCACTAAGTAGTGGCAGAAGGAAAACAGTGATCCTTTTTATTGCAAAAATTGCAGTTTACTTTTGCACAAACAATTTTTGTGCATGCTTCAGATTATGCAGGGTTAGAGGAAGACAGACATTTAATCTTGACCAGTTTACCACTGAATTTGAAAGGGAAACCTATGAAAAGAAATGCAATTAGCTGTAGCCCTGGACCTTTTGTAAGCATTCTTGCAGTTAGGACTTGTGAAACAGAAGTGGAATGTTACAAATGATCCTTTAAGATACAAAAATGGATTGTTCCTCGCTACATTCTCTACTCTTTCTTTCCATCTTGAGCATTTTTTTCTTCTTCATCAGAGTATACAGTAGGTTCCTCGCCTTCCTTCAGCAGTTTACCAACATGGTGATACTTAACTGAAAATTGAAGAAAAGAGAATCCCAAGTCATTATTCTCCTGTGAACACGTTACCTGTTGTACCTTCCACGTCTACTTCCTGCATTAACAAAATGCTTGCACTGTAATAACACACCTCTGAGCTGCTTCTTGCAAATGGGAAAGAAGGAAAACAAACAAGCAAACTACCTGAATTACTATCACTGTTGTAACGGGTGTAAAAAACATGCAAAGTGAATGCAATATAATTCTCAGTTTATTGCCTAAGTTGGAAGGTAGATGAATGCAAAGACACATCTAAAATGACTGATCCATCCATCTAAAGAAACAAAATAATGGATTTCGTTATTTCTCTTGTCAATGCCAAGGCTAGTCTTTTGAATACATCATTTTTAGAATACTTGTGTTACACATTCCTCCACATACAACTGTGTGTACATTCACACAGTACTTTCAAGAGTTTATATTTTTCACATGTATGTTGCAAATATCCAGTGAGAAATAAATAAGAAAAGATCTCCTCTCACACAGATAAAGATGGAGCTGCTATCCGATTATGCAACTAGTAAGCCTTCTGCCTTATTTTATACATCTTTTTGAACATGTAAAAAAAGTCACGCTTATAGAGACGTAAGAACCGAGAGCTGTGCTAAGGTGCCCGTCTGTCAACTTCAGCAAAATAAAAACATGCATCTGTCTACAGGGATTTCCTAACAGCACTGTTGCTATATTTAGGAAGATTTTATAGCAACTAATTGTCAAATTTGCTGTAAACACAGTGGAGTGGAGTGCATTCACCGTTGTGGGAGTTGCGCAAAGACTGACTCCTGCAAGGGTAGAATTGAATGCTCCTTTAGGCCAGACACTTGCTAGCACAGTCCTGGTCTCCAGGACATACTTGTTAGCAACATAAAACAACCATTTAATGTGGCATGATTAACAGCCTTGAGCAAGGCAGGAGGACAGCCAAGATAGCAGGGGCACGCCAGGTCAGGACTGAGGACTCTAATGCCATTATGTGGGGGAAAGCACCATTCCAACTGCTGATCCTCAATCTTTAATGCTGGACTTAAAAAGCAGTCCCAGATTTCCACTATACGAAGCTATTTTGATATTGTTGATACTTCACCAAGATGAATAACTGATATTTTTATTTTCTGTTTCATCTGAGTAGAAATAATCCCTTCGATTGATTTAGGCCTTCAGTGGCCTATAAGGCCACATGAGATATGGAGGAGTAATTTCCACAGAGCTGTGATTTAAAATACCTCTTTTTTGAGCAAAAAGTATGAAATATGTATATACACATACATGTTAAGACCGCACAAAACAGCTGGAATTGCCTCCTTTTTTTTAGGCTTTTAATACTAAGCATAAAAAAACAGGTAACTATGAACTTGATCAAAATAAAAGTTTCCAGACTGGGGACAGTGTCTTGCTTCCCTTATTACACACAATTTAGCTACTTCATTGTAGATAAGTTTAAAATTGCTTACAAGTGAACTGTGATTCCCAGTCCTTCAGGGTCTCTTGCTGCGTAGCATTGAGATCAGAGAGGTCATCGTAATCGTCCCTCAGAGCCTCCTTATCCAGGCAGAAAGTGGCAAGGCCTCGGGATGCATCTCTTCCAGCAAAAATCCCATACGGGCCCTCTTTAAAATAAAAACATGAGCATCATTATTACAGAAGTGACAGCTGTGTATCACTTTGCAGGGTAAGAGTCCCCGAAACAGATGATATGTTCCTACCCTGACCCGAGTGTCAAGAAGTGTCTCAAACTTCCGAAGTGTTTTTAGTGTGTTTTTCTACTTGGTTAAAAAAAAAAAAAAAAAAAAAGCAGAGGAAGAGGGCAAGAAATAAAATCGTGGAAAGAGATACTAAGTGTGCTGGAACATCAGGACAAGGAACCACACTACGATGTGTGGAACATAGAGGCAGGTTAAAAGTAAGTATATAGATCAGGAACCACATCTGCAGGAAAGGGAACGTAAGGATTTGTGAATCTGAGGTGAGATGGAAGCTGTCTGAGAGTTGCTCCTGACTTAGAGAACTGACCTGTTTAAGCATCATTTAAAGCATAACTTGGTGTTGAAAATCTGGAAGATATGAAGAGCCAACTTGGAAGCAGCAGCTTGAAAATGCAGCTTGAAAGGATGAACTTGGATGACCAAAGCACACAATTCATAATAGATCAGAGATAACTTATCAAGGCAGACTCTTGCTAAACTTCATTAATCAGTAACTTGCTTGCATGACAAGCTGAAAATGGAGACATCATATGTTGCAAGTGGACATTAGAAGTTCCTCTTAAAGGATCTGTCAAGAACACGGCACCTTCGACACTTCCTGGGCTAAGCTGTTTCACAGAGCACCAGGAAGACCCTACCTCTCCATGAAGCACAACCACCCAAACACGTGACAACCCATTCAGCATTTATCAGGTTGGATACAACACGCATATTCTAATACAGTCAAGGAAGGCAACATCTGAAAGCATGTTTTTAAAAATCAAGGGGATTTTCAGCTGCCAAGGATGCAAAACCACGCACCTAGCTCAGCTGCACGCATCGCCGTGCCCACGGCAGCACGCGGAGCTGTGATCCAGCGCTATCCTGCGACTCCATCTACCTCTCGACCCGAGGCAGCGGTCCCGCTGCGCTCCCAAACACGCCGTGCCTTGTTCCCCGTGCCCGGCGGAGCAGCTCGCCACGGCAAGGAAGCTCTATGGCCACCGCGATGCTCCCGCCACCGCTTACAAAACCTCGTGAACCTCCAGCAGCGCCGCGAGCCCCGCGAGGCTCCTGCATGGGCTCGCGCGGCCCATGACTCCACCGGGAGCGCGTGGGCCTGGGCGAAGGTGGACGTTGCGCAGCGGGGAAGGGAGCCCAAGCCCCCTGCACGCCCGACCCGCTGGCCCCACGGTTGCCACACACAGCAGCGTGCAACACTGTATATAGTAATACCTATAGAGCTCCTATAGAGCACTATACATGGAAATACATGCAAATATGCACGGATCTACACCGCCACACGCTGATAA